CTTGTACATCATTGTATATAGATTGATGATGTGGAATTGTAAAAAAAGGAGGATAGAAAAATAAAAGAAGGATTTAGAAAAAATCACGTTTTGGAAGAGATAGTAAAAGGAAAAACTAAAAAAAGGAAAGAAAATAAAAGAAAAGGAAGTCAGTTATTAACGGCTTACCAGCTGCTGAAAGCGGTTTCGGGTCACCACAGGCAACTGACTGATCAGGGTCTGTTTCATTCCCTTCTTCTAATTAGAAAGCCTCCTCAGACCCTTCCTTTCCACATCATCAATCTGATATACAAATATCATTTCTCTTTTATTTATCCTTGCTCTCTGAATTCTAGAGAATAATCCCTCAAATTATCTTCATTTCTCCCCATATGGATTGAGTTTTCTGTTGGAAGGTTTGATCTCTATGTAGACATCACGTATTGTTGCATGCATCACCAAGTCGCACATTTTAATGAGTATACACTTAAGATGTGCATTTCTGTATGGTTAGAAAGTACCATTTACGTTGCAGTACCGTGTGCTTAATATGCATATTTGCATGGGTTGATGTGGGAACAGGTAGACAATTATTCATGACGTACTGATATACCTGATTTTATTGAAAAGTATATGCATCTGGTCAATGTTTTCTTCTCTGCAAGTTGCACTGCTGATTTATTTTGGCATGGTTTCTTGTAACTTTATTTTATGCACTAACAAGTGCATTGTAGTTAATCAGTGGTAAGATTTGCATTTTGTACATCAAATATTTTTCCTTTTGTAGAATATAATAAGTGATTTTTTTTCCATTGTTTGGGGTCCTGTAACATTTGGTTTTTCTCATGTTGTAATACAGGCTGTACAAGCTATGGTACAACAAGCAATGCAATATATCGACCAGACACCAGATCTCGATACTAAAGTAGAGCTCATTAAGACACTTAATAGTGTATCTGCAGGAAAGGTGATTATTCATGCATAATTCGATGCACAATATGCTTTTGCATTTTTATTATTTTGAAGAGTTATTTTCTACTTATGGACACACCTTCTGGCAGATATATGTTGAGATAGAGAGAGCTCGCTTGATTAAGAAACTTGCAAAGATTAAAGAAGAACAGGGACTAATAGCTGAGGCTGCTGATTTGATGCAAGAAATTGCGGTCAGTGGATGATAATCTTGTTTATTGGCTTCTCTACCTTTCCTTTAAGAACATTTAAGTTGCACGTCAAATTTATTCCTCTCCAGTAGCTCCCTGACAGTGTTGAACTATAGGTGGAAACTTTCGGTGCAATGGCAAAAACTGAAAAAACAGCATTCATTCTTGAACAAGTATGTAGCCTTCTCTCTTTACCTTCATCTGTTATTGAAACTGTGGTTGGAATAATTGATTTTGGTACAAATGTTGTGATATGTTGATCTTCAAATCTTGTAGGTTCGTTTGTGTTTAGATCGCCAGGATTATGTACGTGCACAGATACTCTCAAGAAAGATCAGTCCAAGAGTTTTTGAAGCTGAGACTTCAAAAGAGAAGAAAAAACCTAAAGAAGGTGAAAGTGTAATTGAAGAGCCTCCTGCCGATATTCCATCGCTGTTGGAGTTGAAGAAGATATACTACCAATTAATGATAAGGTATGCATGATGTTGGTTTATACTTCCCTCATATAGTATTTCATACTTGTGGATCAGTTGTGAGGGTTTCTCTTAATTGGAATACAAGCGCACACCCTCGTGTACAGATCTGCATGCATGCAAAAATCTTAGCGAATATGCTGTGCAGACATAGTCAAATAGACAGGAAGGGCTCAATAACATATAAGTTTTGTAATCTCCGTGCTGAGTTACATTTGATGCATGTTTTGCTAATATCATGAAACTTTCCACATGCAGTTGCTAGTGATAGCAGTGGAGTTCTATCGCTTACTTAGTGAATCACACTCTAGCAGTCAACATCTTTTCATTCTCTAGCGTTAATAGTATTTCAATTCACTGACCAGGATATCTGAAGAGAATTTATAATATTTCTATTTTTTTAATTTACTCTATGCAGCTCCAGATTTAAATTAATCAATTAAAATATGGACAAAGTAATAGCCTGCCAAATTATCTTGTTCAGTAAATTTTCAATAGGTTTAACGAGCATTTTTATTTTTGGCCATTGTAATCAATAATGATATCAAATGAAATATTGGATTCTCTTTCAGCTTAGAGCTCTGGAACTTAAAATTGTAAGTTTAATGAGCATTATTAATTTCAGGAAATTTGGTTTTTAATGATATCCATACAATAAGGTTCTTTCCATACTAGGTGTTTAGAACACGCCCAAAAAGAAAATTATGTGTACATATGGGTGTATGTGTGTGTTAAGCTATACAAGTCACCATTGCACATTGTCAATGCTTCCTGCTTGATGACATGAATTGGTTATAGCCTCTCTGAGTTGTGATCCCGGTTGGAAACACTAGATCTGCAATCCCTCATTTATTGGTTTATATATGTCCTCCTTTTGCTGATCAATATTTTGATGGTGTTTATGATTGTTTTCTTTAATGTCTGCCAAATACCTACAGTACTTATTCGATTTGTCACCATTTTTGTAGGTACTACTCACATAGCAATGATTACCTTGAAATATGCCGATGTTACAAGGCCATATATGAGATTCCATCAGTGAAAGAAGACCCATCGCAATGGATACCGGTGAAGTATCTCTTCTTTGTGTATATATTTTGTTTTAATCATTCACCCGTTGTACATAAAATACTTTGCAAGCATATTCGCCTCAATTAATCTGTATTCTTTCTTTATCCCTGCGAACTTGTGTTAATCATATATCTTGCAGGTGTTAAGGAAAATATGCTGGTATTTGGTCTTATCTCCACATGATCCCATGCAGTCTAGCCTTATTAATTCAACCCTGGAGGACAAGAATCTTTCTGAAATTCCTCAGTTTAGGCAAGCACTTTGAATTTCTTTGAGCTTTGTCCTTTTGATTTTCCTCTTTTCATCATATGTAATCTGTGTTAATTGTTCTTTTGCTGTGTCATTAGATTACTACTCAAACAATTAGTTACCATGGAGGTCATTCAGTGGACATCTCTATGGAATACTTTCAAAGTTGAGTTCGAGAATGAGAAGAACATGCTGGGTGGTTCTTTGGGTGGAAAAGCAGCCGAAGACCTCAGACTAAGAGTAATAGAACATGTAATCATCATAGCAACATTTTCAGTTATACTGTGTAATTCAATCTTTTGCTTTAATACTGTGTTTCATATATATATATATATATATATATATATATATATATGCGTTTCATATAGCAATTTGGACGTATCTACTTTTTCCGGATGTGTAACATCTATCTATAAGAAGTTTATTTCCTTGCAGAACATCCTTGTTGTCTCAAAATACTACTCACGTATAACCATGAAGAGGCTTGCAGATCTACTGTGTCTTGATATCCAGGTCTGATTGCTTCTTTTTAACAAATACCATTTGTTACGATTTTGTAATCCTGAAGATTTCTTGGATTACACTTG